GTGATGCAAGAACCATGAATAGTTGGCGAAAAGTTCAGGTCATTTTTGTCTAACTTTTTCATGCAGCCTTTTCAGCACTTCCAAATAGTAAACTTGATTAACTGTTTGTCCAGTTGGTACAAATTCATAATGAATAATCCCTCTGATATCAAAAAAGGTTAGCAACATCGTTGCGACAAGTTTACGAACGTAATTGTCAGACCTCAAATATCATCAGGGAAATGCAAATTGAAACAAGCTACCACTACACACTTATTAGAATAGCCAAAATCCAGAACACTGACAGCATCAAATGTTGGCAAGGATGTGGAGCAACAGGAACTCTTATACATTGCTGTTGGGAATGCAAAACAGTCTCTTTGGGAAAAGTTTGGCAGTTTCTTACAAAACTAAACACGCTCTTACTACATGATCCAATACTTGTGCTCCTTAGTATTTACCCGAAAGTTAAAAGCTTATATCCACAGGAAATCTGCACACAGGTGTTTATAGCAGTTTTATTCATAATTGCCTAAACTTTGAAATCAACCAAGATATCCTTCAGTAGGTGAACAGGTAAATAAACTGGTGCAGCCAGACAATGGGATAATTTTCAGCACTAAAAAGAAATGAGCTATCAAGCCTTGAGAAGATATTACTAAGTGAGAGGCCAATCTGAAAAGGCTACATACTGTATGATTCCAACTATATGACACTCTGGAAAAGATAAAACAATGGAGACAGTAGAAAGATCTGTGGTTGTCAGGTATTAGGAGGGAAGAAGCGATGACTAAGTGGAACACATGTGATGATGTGTGTCAGTCGGTACTAAAACCAGGTTGACGTCTCAAGAGGTTCAACTTTCTATTACGATTTTGAATCAATAAAACTGTAGGGCCTGCCAGGGCTGGAATTCCTTTGCCACCTGGGTCTCAAGTTGGTGACCAGACTCCCAGAATTGACAAAAGCATTTTGTTTTTTTTAGTACAGTTACACAGGAAGTGACTGTTTCCAACTAAAGTCACTTAGACAATTGACTTTAAAGGGCAAATTCGCCTCTTTTAACATTCTTGGCTCCTGAAATCCAAAATGAAGTGGGTTCTTTTCAAGGAAGCTTTCTTTAGGGGCTCACCAAGAGCTT